CTGAATTTTTCCTCATCCTGGTAGAGGAGAATGGACCCATGAGTACTTCAGTCCACCGAACCTTGGAAACCCTCACTCCAGAGAGGCCACATTAATCCTCTCCCAGAACAGGAAGGGATCAAGATAACCTAAGACAGCTGCAATAGAAATGACATGTGGCTGTTGCCTATTAAAATGGCTTTCACAGCCTCTTCTGAAACTCTGTAAGCCTGCCACATCTCAGGGCACCTTTGTTAGGACTCATCTAATGCCAAAGGTTAACAGTGGCTTCTTGTGCTCATCTATGGTGAGGACCAATAAACAAGGTCTGGCTGATGGTGCATCTGACTAGTTTCATGCATCAAAGAGTGTATTGCTTGAGGCTGCCACGCTGGACTAGAACTCTGATGAACCTCCAAGCTCCTAGTGACCTGTGACGCTCTCTGTCCTGTGAAGACAATCTGCCCAGTGGCCAGAAGAAATGGATAGTGGGAACTGGCTGACCACAAGCAATCCTAGTCCCTTGGGAGGCCTTTGAGCTCACAGGTAAATTGTTCATAGTAGCAGTAAGGGAGCTCATTCAGCCACCACAGGTCATGTCCCTCCAGACCCTCAGGAGCATGCAGAACTGGCACATGCAAAATCGAAGCAATTGCCGCAAGGAACACTGTGACAGCCAAAGGGGACAGAGTTACTCTGCCCAGGGGGACCATGAGCATCTCAGTGTTTTTCAGATGTGTGTGAAAGATGCTATGTGCATGCATCTGTGCGGGAAACAGAACCACTGGTTGAGTTGCTTTCTGCTGAGATCACAGCTAAAGTCAGAGTGATGGAGCCTCTGGAGCTCTCAGAAGGAGTAAGTCTGCAAGGTAGCCTGTAGCCAACTGTGGCTTGTCCCCTGCGTGTCCCCACTGCTGGTATGGGAGCATGAAGTCATGTCCTGGCTGCCAAGGGTGACCAGCCTATGCCTTTGAGTTGCCATGAGAGCCGGCTTGGAGCCCCAGCAGAAAAGCCATCTCAGGAATCCGGGGGGGGGGGGGGGGCACATGCAGCCAGCTTGCTGAAATGCAAATGTTGCTGTATAAAGCACATTTTGGCTGCAGCTTTGGAGTTCCAGGAGTTTCCACTGCATGGGTATTAATTACAGGCAGAGCTGGGAGTGGTGCCTGACATTTGCCATGTGAAAGCTTTCTGAGGTTTCCAATGGTTCTGATTGCCACCTTGTAGCCATTCAGGTAATGTTTCCAATGCCACTTACCTGCTTTGGAAGGTTTTATTTTTCAAGTTAAAAAAAAAAAAAGTTTGAACTGCTTTGAAGAATAATGCCAGGGGAAAATATTTTACCAATATTAAAACACTAATCACTTATTTTTAATTGAAAAGCAATGACAGAGCATCTAAAAGCTGCATATGACATTCACCCAGTGCAGTGACTTGCATTGCTTCTCTGGAGGGGGAAAAAAAAAAGCCCCAACAACTTCTCCAGATTACAAGCCTCTGAAAATGCCATTTCCACATGCTCAGTCATTCCCAGCAGTGACTACAGAAGGAGGCCAGGGCAAGCATTAAACACAATTCTCTGAAAGTGTTAGCAGCTCTGAGAAACACAGCTCCCTGTATTGCCCAACACTTTTGACAATAGTCATATTAATCTCTCTGTGCTTATGTGCCAGCCCTCTGTAGAGTGGAGATAATGCCGCTGCATCTCATGGGGATTCTGGAAATATATTAGTATTTGTGAATCACTGTGCTGTAGCAGTGATGAACACCACAGAAAAGCCCCTGTGGAAAGGAATAATTCTGCATTCTGCAAGGAGTCGAGTGCTGTGTGGGTAAATAAGGCAGAAAATGCACCTGGAATGAAGAAGACAGAAAAGTTTAATAGCTGCTTCATTTTGGCAAGCAGCAGCTCTTCCATCATTGAGCAAGGACATCCTCTCTTGAAAAAGAGACTGTTAGCATATAGTCTGATTAAGATTAGCATATGCACAGGAGTGGACATCCAGGCCTCTTGGGAAGGCCTCAATTTTGACTCTGAAATGTTAACATCCTTTGACTCCTCTCTTTCCCCTCTCCCCATCAGATGGTAGAGACAGAGCTCTGGAAAAATGCAAGGGAATAAACCACAGTGAGTATGATTCATGTTCAGAGAACAGTGCTGATTTAGGAGGAAGCTGAGTGCAGATCAGCTGCTGGTGGCCCTGCAGTAACCAGCGTTATCAACTGACAGCATAATTTACATTGCCAGTATTTCTGGCAAGTGTGTGTGATTCACCCTTGATTTGTGGGCAGAGGAGTGTACAGGAGCTGTGTCCCCTTGTGCAGACTTTGAGAATAATTAAACCTTGCTCTTCTTGTGTCCTTGCTGCTCCTTAGAAGTTCAATCAGGCTTCATGCAGGCCTTGGCTCTACGGTTTTGGTGTCTCTTTTGCGCTGGGATCTGGTCACCTATGTTTGTGTTGCCTCTGGCTTGTTGTGGGTGTTTTAGGATCTGTGTTGAGGCCAACTGGAAAAAATCTGGAAGGGAAATCCTTTGAAAGTTATTTTGTTTCTGTTTTGGGATTGTTTGGAAGAATATTTGTGGACATTTTGAGACGAACTGAAAACCTCCTAACATTTTTTACTGATGTGTCAGATATGGTTTTCAAAAATGGCTTTTGGGGGGTTGCTAAAAGAATATGGCACATGACAAATTCTTGATGCTCAACCGAGGGCTCCAGAAACCCAGATTTTTCAGTGTCCTTGCTTTGACAAGTGACTGTAGCACAGCAGCACCTCTGTATCCCAGTGGAGATCTCACTCAGCTTCTGGCACAGAGCACCTTGCAAAATAGCCTGGAGGAGAAAGGCAAATGGATGAAAGGGCTGGGGCTAGGACAATGGCCCAGCAAATTGCAGATAGGCCAGGGCTGTCTTGGGCCTGCCAGTTTCTCTGGGTCAGGGAATGGTAAGTCTGGAAATATAGGCTGTGACCCCTCGGGGCTGCAGTGGTCCAATCTCAGCCCTATATGGAGCCCTTGCGCATGGGTTGAGCTCTTGCCATGTCCAGCTTTGTCTCAGCCATGAGAGGAAGGGGGAGCACAGGGGTCCCAGGCCACCCTGCAGGCATGTGGTACTGGCTGCCATCCCAGTGCTGCTTGGTGCCATCTAAGGGAGACACTCGAGGGAGGCAGCTAGCACTGCCTTCTCCCATTCTCTGCTTGGCCAGGGAGCCAAGGGGGAAGAGTGGAGTGTAGAAGGGGTCCCCCCCCCCACTCCCATCCTTGCAGGGCCACAGCCCAGCATTTCAGCCCCCCTGGGCTTGTCTCAGGCTGCAGTTTGGGGCCAGTGAAGTCAGGAGCCCAGTGTTGGTGGCTGAGGGGCAAGGTCCTGCTCAAAGTTATCTCCAGTAGGGTCAGCTGCCTTCCATCCTCTTGGCCTTGGCTCAGAGAGCACCCAGGAGCCCAGATTGCCTTCAGAGCTGTTTGGGACCATGGCTTGAGCTCTTCTTGGAGCAGCTTTCTGTGACAGGTGCAGAGACAGCAGGAGCAGAGCTCCATGGCCTATGGCTATGGCTCACTTTACCCAAATACAGCCCCCATGCACTGGCAGAATCTCACCTCTGCAGGACCATGAAAAACAGCAGGGGACAGGGAGAACTGGATTTACAAGCAGAGTCAAGCTCTGGGGCTTGGGCATATGACCTGAAAGGGGTGAGCTGGGGCAGGGTGACAGGGGGAACATGTAGGTGCTGGCATGGCCCTCTCATGACAGAACTGCAGAAGTCTTCTGCTTCTTTGTGGCAGCAGAAGACCTCAAAAGGGAACATGATATGCAACCAGGGAGATGAGATGGCTCTCAGCTATGTTGTGCTGGTGCAGGAGCTCCATTATGGAGGGGAGAGATGGCAAGGCCACTGTTTGGCAGATTAAATCTGGAGCTGAGACCATGGGAGAGGTTGCTGTATGATTCCTGGGGGAGTGAGGGGAGGACACCTCGCCTGCAGTGGCTGAACTCCTGCTTCTTGTGCTAATGAAACTCGACTCATTAAAAGAAGTCAGGAGGAGCCCACAGCCTCCCACACTGTTATTATTTTGCCCAGGTATTACAGTTTGAGCTCCTTCCCTGCAGCTCACTGTCTCTGATATGGAGAGTGATAAAAGGTGCCAGAGGAAAGCACTGTGTGAGCTCAGTCCAGCAACAAGGTGAGGGATAGGAACAGCCCTCATTTGTGCCCCTCTACCAGCTCCTGAGACACTGTGTGTGTATGACCAGGACTTGGGCTCAGGGACAGCAGGAAGCACTGGAGAAGGCCCAAGCAGTATCTGGCTGACAGAGGGTATATACAAATAGAGATTGCCTACAGGCTGTGTAGCCTTCAAAGGCCCAGGAAAGGGGCGGGCGGTGCACTTGGTGTCCTACAGACCTGGATAATTTGCCTTTCCATGACAAACTCCAGGCACTGAAAACACGATGCAGAATATTTATGTGTATGAATTCTCTTGGCCTCCCCCTCCTCCTGCTGAGCTGCCCTATGCAGCCTATTCTGCTCTCAGGGGCTTTGCCAGCAGGGGATCAGCTGGGATATCTTTCCATCCCCACCCTGGGTTACCTCTGTATTTGTAAAGGCCTGCTCTTTTGTGCTGCTTATTTATTGCTACGATTATATTTGACTCAGTAACCCTGAGGTTCCCAGGCTGCATTTTGTCAAACTGCCTCATTTCTTGAATGGAGGTGGGCTGTGAAAGGTCGTTGAGATGCCTGGGTCAATTCTCAGCTGAGAAACGCAAGGCACTGCTGAGGGATCTAGCCAGAATTCAGATAAAAAGCTTTGTGCAAAATAGAGGTGGAGGGGAATAAACATGGTTGTTCCCACAGGACAGACAAACATCTTCAGAGAAAGAAATTGCCCAGTGACAGTGGAAGATTTGGAAGATTTGGAGAATGTCAACCAGGACGGCCAAAGAGGGCATTTCTAGAACCAGGGAGTCACATATTGCACAATCTCCACCACACACAGACGTGTCCAGTAACGTAAAACAAAAAGGAAAAACATAAAAGGAGAAACAACCCCCCTCCCCAAAACAAAAACAAAACAAATATATTACATATGGAAGAGAAGAATATGACAGGCTGCACGGTAACCAGAATTTCACCACATCCCAAGTCTATACAATGGAGTTACTATGAGAAGAACAACCAACAGCACCGAGCCCTGCAGGAGGCAGAACCATGGTGGGCGCGTGACCTCCAGTGAGGGCCAGACCCACCACCACTGCTCCCCTCCGCTCTGTGGTCCTGCCCCTCTGCATGGACCATGGGAAACGTTCATTCATTAGGATGGGCAGCGGAGCCCGTAGGGGCTTGGATTGGCTGAAACGGCTGCTGTGTCATCATACACCAGGCAGTTTTAACCAATGGAATTGCTCGCTAATGGTCTGAGGCCACAAGGCAGCAGGAGAGGTATGGCCTGAAACAGATCCTTTTTCATCTACATGAGCATGGATGGGGGCTGCTTGTCCCTCCCTTCTGGATAATGCTCGGGCAGGTTTTGCTTTTATAAAACCAGGAGAGAAAAATGTAGGTGAGGCAGAAATTGCTCCTAACCCCAGAACTGTCTCCTCAGGGTGCTGGGGCTCCTCTCGGCACTCAATCATACGAGCTCTCTGCTTCTTCCTCCTGCCTGACATGCGTATGAGACGTATGCAGCGGAGTACAGGTATCCCACTGCAATTAGTGCAATTTCATCAGGTGCAAATGTCACATTAATGGCTCGTGCGCTCTGAGTTAATGGATGTGCTGAGTCCTCTAGCAATAAGCCAGTCAAAATAGTGCCAGTGCAGGCAGAAAGCTTGGCACCTGGATTGCAAACGCTAAAATTCACCTCCAGTGCTTGGGCATTTGTTTGAGGTTGATGCATCACAAGCAGCCCCTGCTGGGCCCAGCACATAGGGAGAATAATTTTTAGTGATAGCCCCACATGGCTTTGAAAAACATACAGCAAAAAATGGCAATTTGTCATCTTAAAATTGTGTTTCTGTGCTTAGCTGCAGGGACCGGCAGACACGAAACTGCTGAATGGGAATCTGTCAGACACTGGGACCAGAAGCAAATAACCCCTTTCTATCAACTCTGGCGTGATGCACTGCATGCTGCAAGTCCCTGCCAAGTAACATGGAGCCTCCGAAAGCAGGGAAAGCAGCCCAGATCAGAGGCAAAGAGAAAACACCTCTCTGAAGACCAGTACATGTGGTAGATCACTTTTCTGCAGGCGATATGCTCCTCCCTCCCCACAACTCGCTCATTAGGCAACCAGTCACCACAAATGTCACACACATGAAGTGGAGGGATGCTGTGCTAAGGAATGGGCTCTTTTTACACACGCCCTCCCTGTACTCAGCTATCATCCAGCTACTGCTACTGACAGCAATTTAGACTTAATGAGACGTATACCTCAGCACAGACCGCTGAAGTCCTGACAGCCTTGCTGTCTGTCTCGGCAGCCGGTCTGGTGCATTGTCCTGGTCAGAGCCCTCTTTGGCCATCGCTCGAGGGCCCATGTGCACATCGTGCCCTGATGCAGGCCTGGCAGCGGGATGGCACCTGCAGCTGTCGACCGCAAGCTGTGGTGGCTGCGGGATAAGGGTTGGATCACTGTCCTCATGCTATGCCACTGAGACACCCTGTGAGAAGGGCCCTGAGACAGGAGTGCATGGAAAATACCAGCTGTGTCCATCCAGGGCCCCACTGTGCCAACAGCTTGAGACCCTTCTGGTGGGGACAGGGTTGTCACTTGAGGGTGACAAGTTTTCAGACAGTTCCTACAGCACAACATCCAGAGGACAAAAGCAGAGTTCAAACCTCATGGACTAATGCTCATGCTGGCTCAGAGTGCAGACCACTGGCACATCCTGTGCTGACTTGACCCCTAGTCCTTCCCTGGCCATTCACTCCCCTCCTTGCACACACCTGCCACAAGTCATACCAAAGCCTCTGTCTGCAGGCTCCTGTGCTGGGCCTTGGCTCCCAGGAGCGTCCCGCAATGCACAGAACGGTACACCCTGCACAGGTTTGGCTTTTAGGCCAATGTGGACATGAGGCTTGGCCATGAGATTTGGTCTTTTCTGGTTACTGGGAGGGATTCACCGGGAGCACTGGTGGCACCCAAGGAGCTCACTGAAGCCTCTGGGCCAGATTCAGCTGTTGGCCACACGGCACAACCCTAGAGCGAACAGAACGGCTGAACGCTCACACGACCAACACAGAGAATGAACCGAGAATGAACAGAGAGCATGTCCGAATGACATGCCACCCTGCCATTAGGACGTGATCTCCTCCCTTTTAAACACCTTAATTCACACCTCATACCAGCTCAAGCTGCGGATCAGAAAGTGCACTGGGAGCAGGCCTCGGTGCAGAGGCAGTGGCTTAGCTTTGGGTCATAGATCATGAATGTCTTTGGGCATGACTTTGGGCATGACTTCGGGCATGACTTCCCCTGCTACTCAGCACAGGGATATGTGCTTTTTCTGCAAGACACTGGACACTAATGGAGATTTATGCTCAGCTGAATGGGGCTGTGGGGCATGGGCGCCTCAGCATAGACAGCAGGCACCCCTGTCTGGGTGCACAGCTGGACATATCCTGGCGTCAGGAAGGAGTATCTGCCAAATGTCTGTGATGGGGGTATGACATGCCTCAACTTGCTCCTCTTCACTTGTTGTGGGCCTCCCCGACTTCTAGTGAAACGTGACTTCCCAGAGGAGTAGGAATGGTGGGGTTGGAGGGAACAGGTCCAGCTTCCTTCCACCGTGGAACTGCAAATCTAAGCACAAGGAGTTGTAGGAACACAGTCAACAGCAGCATGCACACGCCTGGGCGAGGCAACAGGACAGCCCTTCTCAGAGCTGGCTTCGCTCTCACAAACCATCTACCACATAAACAACTTCAGTGTTTCAGATTTGGCTGCCTCTCCAGGTGAAAGAGGTGCATGCATTATCTATCATATCAGAGAAGCTGCCAAACACAAAAATCTCACCAGAAAATGGTGCTCAGGTCCCACTTGGCTCTTGAGACATCTAGGAAAGGGCTCCAAGAAGCTGGTCCCTCCTGCTCCGCCTGCACCTCTCAGAGAGACGAGTGGAGCCAGCCCTCTGACCACACCAGCACCTGAGAAGGTCACCCAAAAACCCTCTCCAGCCCTTTCAGCCCCAAAATAAAAACAAAACAATCCACGTGACAATCCGCTTCGGGAGAGATTTGATCACTCCACAAAAGAGTTTCACAGGCCTCACTCACACAGAAATGGAGCTCGTCAACAGAAGTTTATTTTCAACCGCGGTTAAAAGTCCTTTCTTTTTCCCCTTTAAAAAAAGCTTTGTGTGGGACAGTGCTTGCTTGCTTGAGCATTATTGAGCTGGCTGCAGGGGCTGCTCTCCAGCTTTGTTGTCTGGAAGCTCCCAGCTCCCAACTACTAGCATCTGTCAGCATCTCCGTGTGCTGCTGCAGGGCACGGGCAGAGCTGGATACAGCCTAGTGACAGGCTTTCATCCCTGATACATACGGGGACTCCTGGGGCCTGCAGTTACACTCCTGTTGCTCTGGGTAGTCTATGAAGTCCGGGGCAGGTAGACCCGAGAGGATCATCAAAGATTTGTTCCAGATGGTGAATGTTGGACACACTGGTAGGATGAAGGAAACCTCAAATGTGTGGAGGTGGAGGGAGTTGGCTGGGTCATAGAAGGAGAGCGCGTTGTTGTCATAATCCAGGAGGACGCCGAGACGCTTCATCTGAGGGTGGACCTCCACCAGCATCTCCTTGTTGTTGTGTCTCACCACAAAGTTGTTGTTGCAGCGGGAGAAGACCCAGGATGAGGAGTTCTTCCCGATCCACTCGTTCTTGGGGGCTGACTTGTAAGCCACCCCGATGGCATACCTGGAAGACAGGACAAGCTTAACTTTTAGTAACCTCCCACCTTGGAATGAAATGAATCCCATCCCCGAGGGCTGCTCTGACCATGTGCTTTAGGAGTCCCCTTCCAAAATACCGCTGGTGAGGTTATTTCATGTAGCCTGGCCCATCAGGGTTTAAACAGAGCCTTGCAGGGATCCCATACGCTCAGGGGACTTCCTGCCACCACAGCACCTTGCGGGGCCAGAGCGTGTCGCACAGCCCTCATGCTCTGGGAGCAGGCAGAGCAGTGCCTACTCTGCACAGTCTAACAAGAAGATGGCAGATTTGCTCCTCGCTCGCTCCTTATGCAGGCCAGGCTCCAGCTGGTGTCCTAGATAGAGGCCTGCAGGTGCTACAGCTGCAGAAATATCACAGGGGCACTGAGCACGATCCATGGAACGAATGCAGAAATTTCATGGCATCTTCAGCACGGAAATGGATGGGATTCCCAAGCTTAGCCCATCCAGCTGCTTTTCCCTGTACCATCTGCCTCTGACTCCTCTCGACAGCACAGAGCGCAGCTGCCACAGCTGTGCGTGTGACAGTGTCTAAGGGCTCATTGTAAAAGCATCACAGGAAAAGCTTTATACAGCTGAAAACCTACTTGCAGCAGCTTGGCTATCAACAAGCTTTATTCCTTCCCAATGTAATCTTCTCCTGCCAGGAGAGGAGAGAGCCAGAGGTGATACAGTTGGGTTGTTTCAGTAGGAAACCTTCCATTTTAACTCCATTGTGCTGCATAAGCAGAACAGCTTTAAAAATGTATCACCTTGATAATGTTTCTTTAATGTCTTTCGGCTCACCTGCACCATGTGAGGGGCGAGACTGGGAGCAGTACTTTGGTGTGAATGTGTTTTTCAGCCCCGGGCCAGCTGGGAGACTGATCCCAGTGGATACGAGCATTTGGAACAGCTTCTGACCCAGGGCTGTCAGCCGAGATCGCCCTTGTTTTAACTCCTGAAAACTTCCCCCTGCCCCCAGCAAAGAGAGGGGAGGCAGCTAGCAGGATTCCAGTTAGCTATGACAGGAAGATGTATTTTTTTCTGCAAATGACCCCTGGGGCATCAGATCTGGTGTTCTGCATATGTGGCAACAGCCACATACGAAGGTTTTGGGGAAAGGCAAGTGACCCCCCCTTCTGCTGCAACCCCCCTGGACAAAAAGCACCTCAAGTGAAACACTACTCCTGCACTGTCAAGAGCAGTGCAGGCTGCCAGCCCACTGCTAGACCTTTCCATCAGGTTTGGTTTGAGCCCCTGGAAGGATATCTTCACTTCCCTGAAACTCATGGTCATGATAGCATGAGTTAGTGGGCAAAAAGAGAGGGTGTGCTGTGTCTCTTTGGGTTCTGACTCCTGGCACTCTCTGTTAAAAAAATCAGAATCATCAGTTTGAAGAATCGTAGTGCCTATTTGTTTTGCAATAAAATCTTCTAATCTGGCAGGGATTTAATCCTAGGGTGAGGTTTCCTAACAGTCTCTTCAGATTGGCACAATTATGAGCTGTTAGAAATTGCCATTTCCCATGGACTAATTTGTTTTGCTCAGTACAGTTTCCTCTTGGCTGACAGCCCCAAAGCACTGCCACCCCAGCAGTGCTGCACATGCACCACTCCAGGCCCTCATGATGCTACACTGAGCTGAACAGGAACCAGGGGAAGTGTACCACAACCTTGTCCTCCTGTTGCTTCTTCCATCACAAAGTGCCTGTTGGCCTCATGGAAACATCAGCTCAAGTCTCCTGGGTGAATGCTGGTGTTATACAGCCTGTCCTTTACAGGGGTTATCACTGAAAAGAGCTGATGGCTGCTCTAAGACATTATGCAAGCTAAGATAGAATTCACACATCTCTGAGAAAAGACAGCAACTTCAAAGACAGTTTCATCCTTACTGCTGAAAGACAGCAGTAAGGGGTTGTAAATCACAGGTATGCATCTCTGCCATGTGATCACGTCTTTCTAAAAAGTGTTTTCTAAGAATTGTGAAGCTGTCAGAGATTAACACTTCAGGAATCAAGCACTGCACTACTTTTGCGCTCACAAAAACTGTCACACAATGCTCGGGGACTATCTAGTTTGTGCTGGCAGAGAAGCTCCGCTGAGGAGTGCAGACTGGTTCACCTACCTCAGCTCAGCTCGCCTAGCTGCCATGCAGTCAGCTAACATGCAGGCACACTGTGAGCTGATGCAAAGCAGCCGGTGGCACTGGTTCCATGAAGTTTAACGAACTCAGTTCCCAAGGCCAAGGCATTTAGCTAACAGTAACCCTCGACCACAAATGACTGGGGCTAATATCCTTCCCCAGATCTGCAGTAGTGAAGAAAAGGTTTAGAAAATATGGGGACATGCAGAGAGGCTGTACACTTCCAAGCCTCGTCAGTGCTGCAGTTTAAATCAAGATCATTTCTAGTTTCCTGACAAAAAGCTCACACAACCCTGCTCTGAGGCATGTATTTGCATATGCACATATGAACATACAGACACATGCAGCAGACTGCTTACTTGGGACTGACAGCCTACAGTTTGGGAACCATTTCTTTAAAATATTGTGAAGATTTCATGTGTATGTAGAGTCTTTCTCCCTTTGATTTTCAAGAGTGTCTGACAATCTTGTAATTGCATTTGCCTGCTGCTCTCTCTCCAAACTCAAAGTACGGTCAAAAGCAACAGGAAAGGGAGTGCATCATATGGAAGGAGCGCAAAATCAGCGAACGATCCATTCCCCAAAGCAGGTCAGCTTGCTGATTGTCCCTCGTGGGTCTGTTTGAGAGAGAACAGTTGTATTTTTCAGCAGCACTTGAATACAAATTCTTCCTTGGCAGGAGAGCTCCTGCAAATGCACACACATTTCTAGGAATAGCTCAGTCCTCATAATATTCCACAAAGGTGGTAGCATGCAAACAACACAGGTTATGAGCTCTGTCTAGGAAACAATCTCGGAGTATGGTGGAAGAGGGATTTAATTGACTAAAGACTGTTGTTAACAGACCTGCCATTTCAGGCACTATCCACTGAATAAATGCTGTGGTTACCTTCTGATTTACGTGCATCGGCACAAGCTGTGCTCTGTTGTGTACTTAGCAACAGGACAAAACTGGGAAGGGGAAGGCTGGCTTGAGAGTTCATCATCGCGGGAGGACGGACAGCAGTTTTGATGCCCTGAGCTGCTTACAGCAAAGCTCACAAGCTGGTAACATTAATCTGTGTGAAGGTATCATCCTGTCTGCGGCAACAATGAAGTGACGGGACAAAGTGGGGAAGGGCTCTCAGTGTCTGAGCGGGGGCTGAGGAGTAGGGAGATGGAGCTTTTATTAAGGCTGCTGAGAGCTTCAGGTCCCACCGTGCCTTTCATCAAAGCATACCTTCTATAAACCTCACTAGGACAGAAGGCTCCAGGCTTGCTCTCAGTCACAGCCACAGTAAACTCAATGAGCCATCTTCTAGCATGTGACCATGCCTATTCTGTACCTGAATGCATCCCTCTGCAGAGCCCAAGGAACGGCTGTATATTTGAAACCAATTTCCTCATCTAACGGGATTGCAGTATTCGGTCATCAGCAAAACAACGCCTGGAACGGATTCATTTCTAAGAAACAGCTCCAAATGTAATTCGGCTTCTTGAGAAACAACTGACAAATCAAGCTGCTGAGCCCAAAAACTGCTTTTAAACAAAGGGAGTGCTATCTTACGTCCCTGGCTCATTCCTTCTGCTGCTGTCTGGACATGTTCTGTGGGCAGGAACTTGGTCTTGAGGGCATGTCCAGGGTGCTGATTTGTGGCAGAGCTTGCTAAGATGAGGGAGGGAGGTGCTGTCAGTGAAGGAAGATATATTTCTGACCACAGAGAGGTGTTTAGGGTGGAGATAAAGCACCAGCTGAATACAAAGACAGCTTTCTTCTCCCCTTCCTTCTTACCACTGTTGGAAGCAAGAGTTTGTACTTGGGGCAGGACCACACCTGGCTGTGTTCAGCTTCCTGCTGTAACAGGGGACATCAGGCCACTGAATGTGAGCTGGGTTCAGTTTTTGGCCATGCACCACCTTGGACTTGCCCCTGAGGTTGTGCGGGGTTGGGCTGCCTCTGGACTGCAAGCAGCTTGCAGTTTCTCTGCTGTGGCTTGCAGAAGCAGACCTTCTGTGAAAGTGTCTCTGAGAAGGGCCCTGGGGAGAAAGCAGTAGGTTGCTGGGGAGGAGCAAAGCTAAAACAATCTCCATCCTTGCAGTCCCTGTCAATGCCACTTCCATCTCCCAAGGAGCACAGGGGAGGTTTCTCTTTTGCCCCACCACCCTCGCAGAATCTACCCTTAGAGCCTGGACCACAGAATAGTAATTAAACTTCTGCCCACCGAGCATATGGAGGTGTTTGCTGACTCTAATGTAGAGGTTGATCTGGGAGCATGTGCAATTTCTGGGTGATCCCTGGCCAGAGCCACTCTGCCCTCACCCTCCCAGCCCAGCCCTGGAGACAGTGTAGACAGTAGGGCTCCACAGAGCACTCTGATTGTGGGATGACTTGTGGGTAGGCTTTGCATGGTACTGGGGTTGCATGGTGAGGAGAGGGAAAAATTTGCCATGCTGCTTTCCAGGGGAGCCGGCATCCACTCAGATCACAGACTCCTTCAGAAAAGGCAGAGAGAGAGTACTGTGAAAGAAGTGTTGCAGTCCTGGGCTGCTGTTACTCCAGATATCCTACCAAGCCTGCTGACCTTCACTGAATCCCAGGTCACTGAGACAGGAAGAAAGCTCTTGGCATTTCTGCTTATGGGAGGGAGACACCAGCTCCTCCTCCCTCAAGAGATGAAGCTTGTTGCAATGCAGGCAGCCTCTCCTGAGGCAGAACCACGCAACTCAGCAGTGCAAGGTGATAGAAAGCAAAGGGCAACCAAAGCATTGCTCTCTTCTTTGACTCGCTGCCTCCTTTGCCATCACAGGGCAGAGATGTCCCTGTGGGTAGAGGGAACCACAGCATGGGATGGTTGATCCTGCCAGCTAGCAGCAATGTGGTATCAATACAGAATGTAATAGAATGAAGCAGGCTTGGGACATGCTCCCCTGAACCGTCTGCCCACACAGGGCAAACTTTCCCCAGAGATATTCCTTGTCTCCCTTGCCAACATACACTTCCTCTCCCTCTGCTTAGCCTTCCAGACCCTGACTTCATAACCATGTCTGCCCCATTTCAGTGAGACCTCGCATGAAACAGCTCAAGAGACGACACTGCGCACAACAAAACTGGCAGATCTAAACAAACTGCCGCACCTCCACCCATCCCTGGGGCACTGTCCACATTCAGTGCTCTGGTCTATACTATTCCAGTGCCAGCCCTGACTTCGTACTGGTGTTGGTAATCAGAAGTGACACTCCCTTCCCTGTTGCGCTGTGGATCGCAGGGCTGTATCTTCTCTTGTGCAGAGACCCTCACACCCTTTTAATGATGCTAGCCTTGAGCTCATTTGGAAGTAGGCAGCTGTACTAGAACAAAGGGAAGTGATTCATCACTGAAAAGCCTAAACTCATCTCTTGAACAGTAGCCTGTGCTCTGGATTGTCTTTCATTAGCAGAGTGTTTTCAGGACAGTGTGCGTGGGCTGGACGTAACCCTGGGCACTTGCATAGGACTCAAAAGGTCACTTGCGCTAGAGACTTTGCACACAGAGATTGAGCTGGCGTTTGAGCTCTCTCAGTCATTAGCAGTGTCAGCAGTTAAGGAAAATGAATAAATAAGCTTCACCTTGCAACGTGAATGGATCTGATCCAAAGGCAGAGAAAGAAGAATCTCAAAAACCTCTTGTAAATCCACAGCCACCAGGATTTAAGCTCTCTCTTCTCAGCAATGACAACACCAGCTACCTCTCCAACCATGAGGAACTCTGCCAAAACCCTGGCCTTTTACAATAGCATGTCCTGTGGCATCTCTGGTGAAATCTCAGAGGGCATGTGAGGAAGGAAGGAAGGGAGGGAGGGAAGACAACAGTGCTGCCTACCAGGTTGAAGATCCTACCACCACCTCCCAGTAGTGGCACCCGTTCCCTGCCGCTCCATAGCATCCTGTACCGCTGAACCTCTCGGGTGTGTGGCTCTTCTTCAAGGAGCTTTCGTCCTTTTCCATCTGTAGCCCGTCATTGGAGATCTTCAACTTCTTATGAGCCATCTTGGGGTCCAGCTTAAAAGGCTGACCTGTTACAAGAAGGACACAAGGATTACTATTTATGTTTGTTATCATCATCATGCAGGCTGAAAATGGCAGGAAATGTCTCCCTCAGGCTCTTTGGACATCCACCACAGGCTGTCACAGTGAGACAGGGCTACTATTGGAATAGTCCTTTTCCCCACCAATCAAGAATATTGTATTACAGATGCTAGTTTGTCCTTGTAAGACATTAAGGCACAGCCACATGCCTTGTTCAACTATTGTCAAGGGCTGATCCATAAGTCATAGGACTCTGTGATGCTTCTGTGCCCCCGGCACATGCAGAAGCTTCCCTAACCCTGCTGGAAGGTGTAGGCAAGTCGCTGCTGCCAAAGTCTGCAAGAAAACCACCTCTCTGGGCATCAGGCACTGCCAACAAGAGAGAGGGAATCAGAGACAAGAGCAGAGTCTGTGCTTTGGGCTCATTCCCCAAACCAGGAATCATTCGCCTTCCCTGATGAAACAGAGAGAAAGGGAACCAGCTTGGAGGTGAAAATGTGGAGAAAGGTGGGGAGAAATGAGCTGAAAAGAGAGTGAGATCTCTGACCCCAAGGAAGGATCTGAACATGCCTCTGAGCTGCTGCTTTACACCAAGATGAGCCCATGCTGACCTTTCCATAATTGTTTGTAATAATTCTTCTCACCCTTTGCCTAGCAGGCAGGATGGGGACACGAACAGGGGCTAGGAACAGGGGGGACTTGGGTCACAAGTTCAGACCTGCTGTCTGACTGCAAGCTCCTTAACCCCTCTATTTCTCTAGCTGCAGGAGACATATACTGCTGCCACCCACATCTCTTTTGAAAAACACTTTGAGATGTTCCCTGTAAGAGAGCAGCCAAGCTGATCAGTACTACACAGCAGATTCATCTTAGCAAGGATTTTAAAGTGAGGGACTATTGGTGCTGGGGAATGTCCAGGGCCTCTTTAATCTGCATTACCCTGTTCAAGTATGTCTCATTGTTAGAACAGCTCCCTTTTGCCCTTTGTTAATGATGTGAAAATCTTCTGGCAGAAACAGGGGTTGTTTCCAGGTAATAGAAATGGCACTGAAGATGCCATCAAGTACTGCAAACCAAATCCAGATTGGGTACATAGTCTGAATTCCTTAGCAGATCCATACTCTATTAGCAGTAATGGGAGCTACATGAGCACAGTGAAAGGAGAATAGACCCTTAAGTGCTGATATAACAATATTGAGCCATAAAATAAGTACTGCAGCATGGAGCATATCCCCACATCCCCCTCTCCAGCTGAGGCAGACTGCTCCCTGTAGTGCATATGCTGCTACTACATTTTACAGCAAACATGCCTGAGCTTTATCAGCACTTTTCCATTGCCAAACAAAGTCTTAGATGCTCAGAGAAGATAGTCTGGGCTGTGCACACAGTGGTGGAAACAAATCAAAGGCATCAGGTCAAGCCCCAGGTTAGCGTGGGCTGGCAGGAAGGTGCAGGGGCTGTGGCCTGTGCAGTGACAGGCAGTGAACGCAGACTCCAGGGCTTCCTTTTTAAGGATTGACAGATTAAAGTTTGATTGATTTTGCAGATCTTTAACGCTGGCTTAAAACACAACTGAAATTCCTTTGTAATGCTACCAGCCAACAGAAAGCTAAACTGTTTCCTAATTGACACACACTTGCTGTCCTGTTTGCTTTGATAAATCCCTCTAAAGATTCACAAGGCCAGAGGAACATCTGTCCTCTCTCATGTTGATAAACACAAAGTACTCCGCAGTGGTCTCTTCTGGGAACCAGCTTTACAACACATTCAACAATAAGCACTAATGATTTTCAGGAAGCCTCAAATTTTTGATATTCTCGCAAATGTATGTTACCTCGGCTACAAAGGAATGTCATCCAACTCTGTGCCTCAGAGCAATCGCTCCTTTGACACTGCACAGTCTCACTGCAATACTAACTCTCACATGCTGAGAGCTCCTGAGACCAGGTTTAATTTGTGCAGGGATACAACAAGGAGTGGGTCAGAAAAATACTTGTAAACACAGCATTATTGAATTTGGAGGGTCAGGGAATCTGGTGCAATTCAATAGGCTCTTCAGATGCTTCCGTGGCACAGAACACCTACAGGGCTCTCTCCACCAGCAACTCCAAGTGTCCCTGTGGCACTGGCTGGGTGTGAGCACAGGACAGGCACAGCTGATTTTCCCAGGTTGCTGTCCAGGACGAGGTGGGCTCATGCTGCAGTCTTACCCTCCCAGCATGCCCCTGGTTAAGCATCCAGCATCTTCAGCCCTTCTTGTCCTGGCTGCCCATGGGAAGTTCTCCCGACGATGCCCCAACTGATTCTTCAGCGTGTACCCAGCCCTCCGTGCCTGCCTGACAAACATCCTGCAAACCCGTCCTGCCGGCCCCCCCTCTACCCAACACCATCAGAGAACAGCTCCTCTTATTCACGTCTGTTTTTTGGGGGGATACATAATCCCTTTTGCTTAAATGTCGTCCTTTTGCTTAACTGGATGTTGTCTCCCTGGACTTCAGCAAGGCTTTGGACACTGTCTCCCATCACATCCTCGTAGGAAAGCTCAGGAAGTGTGGGTTGGATGAGTGGACAGTGAGGTGGATGGAGAACTGGCTGGATGGCAGAGCTCCGAGGGTTGTGGTCAGTGGTGCACAGTCTGGTTGGAGGCCTGTAGCTAGCGGTGTCCCCCAGGGGTCAGTACTGGGTCCACTCTTGTTCCACTTATTCATCAGTGTACCTGGATGAAGGCACAGAGCGCACCCTCAGCAAGTTTGCTGATGATACTAAACGGGGGGCGGGGAGGGGGGGGAGGGGGGAGTGGCTGACACACCAGAAGGCTGTGCTGCCATTCAGAGGGACGTGGACAGGCTGGGGAGGCGGGCGGAGAGGAACCTCCTGACGGTC